CTGAGCCACCCGAACTGGAAAGCGTTGTTGTTATTTGTTGTTGTCCATTTTTCCTCCTGCCCCTTAAGTCTAATCTCTCATTTTTAAGTGCTCAGCTTTTTTTAGTGTTCACCTCAGATAAAATAATTACAGAGGGTGATTTTAATATACATGTAGCCTCATTGCATTTGACATCATTTTAAATGTCTTCATTTTGCAGTAAGAAATGTAGACAAGAAAAGAAAAGAAGAAAAGGCCTTTGTCACTCATCTTGGAAAATCATGATATTTCTATACACCAATATGGAACTAAAGATCTTTTCTTTTGTGAACAAGTGGGGGCAATAGTGCCATGCGGATGGCAAGAGTTGAAAAGAGGAGGCAAAAAAGAAGATGCCACTTTCTAAAATAGGAAACGCAGTTCCTAACAACTTATTGGTTATTGTTACCATGATGATTTACCTTAACAAATCATGTAGGGGCTTACTAAAGCAGTGTCATCTGTGTGCGTGATAAAATGTCTGCTGGGAAAAAGTTGTTTTTACAGCAGTATACAGAATAAACAATCATAGAGATAAAGCAAAACCCAGAGGGAAGTCTGTGAAAGTGGTCTATTTGTCTGAAAATAGACTCCAACTCTGGTCTCATGTGTTATCCTGCTAAGAAACCCAACAATTCATAAAGTCAAACAAGAAACATGAAAAAAATTGTTTCCAGTTTATCTGCTAACATTTTCTTTTAAAATTGTATAAAAAGAAACACACTCTTCATTGGTCCTCTAGTTTTATTGCTTATAGTTCGTTATATATTTTTGAAGGAAAATCATCTACGAGACAAAGAGAAAATACTCTTTCATCAGCCATTTTTTCATGTTTCACAGTGGTTCACTGATGGTTTATCATCACATGTCCACCAGGTTACATTTATTTACAACATAAACCAGTATTTTTGTAAATTTGATCATATGGCTTATAAAAATGTTAAAAAAGAATTTCTATTCACACGCAACCCTGTTGTGCATCATACGAATAATAATAGTTAACTTAAGCATAAAACATGCTCTTTCTTATTGTCCACCCAGTTACTGTTTTCCACAGTAACAGGGTGGACTAGGTGGGTTGGTATGCATATTTTTGTGACTCTTTTTAATGTAATCAAAGCGTGAAAGCATGTGGGAGTCTAATTTATTTTTTAGAATAGATGGACATTTTTTCCAGTGGATTCATACAAGATAAAATCTTTCATAGTTTAGTATCTCGTCTCCAATGTCAGGCAGGGAGGCTGCCCATGTAAAAGACAACTATGAAAACCACCAGATACCTGACATTTTAAAGCTGTGGAGATTATTAAAATAAGCAAGTGTTTTGCAACAAACTGTTAATATTGATATTGATATTTTACTTTGAAATATAAAGGTGGTAATAGTGAAAAGGATAATACGTCATCCAGAGGGCATGAATAGACTGGTCTTTCAGAAACTGGTGCTTGAACTGATGGACAACTATCTCTGGGATTACAGAGAATCATCTAAAAAGAGAAAATATCTAGTGAGCTGCAGCTCTCAGGGTGAAAATCACTTGTTGATGTCAAAAGTCAGAGGAAAATGGCCAGACTGCTTCATACTGAAAGGTTAAACACTTGTTCCAACCAAAGTATGCAAAAGAACATCACTGATTGCACAGTATATTGAACATGTTAATGCAGATGGGCTACAGCAGCAGAATACCACAACAGCCATCCCTGTCGCCTAAATCAGGAAACTGAATATACAGTTCACATGAGCTCATCAAAAACTGGACAACAGACAACTGGAAAAATGTTGCCTGGTCATTTGGATGGCAGGGCCAGTATTTGGGTTAAACACAATAAAAATAAGAAATGATCCTGCCTTGTATCAAAGTTTCAGGCTGCCGCAGCTCTGGGGGTTGTTTTCTTGGCACATTTTAGACTCCTTAGTACCAGTTTAGCATTGTTTAAATGCACGACCTATCCGAGTATTGTTGCTAACCATGTCCTTATCTTTATGACAATATTGTGCCCATTTTCAGCAGGCTGCTTCCAGCAGGATAACGTGCCATGTCACAAAACTGAAATAATTTCAAAGAAGTTTTTGAACATCCAACTGAACCTTATAGTCAACAAAATAAATAGTTAGTACCACCTCATACTGTATATGCAGAACTTTGTAATATCGTATTAGTCACATATTCAAATAGTGGGTGCATCAAACTAGCCGTTAACAAGTGTCATTCATTCAAAACCGTCAGAAAAAAGCCTCCCTGCAAATAAACTTAGAACACAATGTGAACAATAATATTTGGATAACAGACCTGTATGTAAAACAAAATCTAGGACTTACGTAATAGAATCATCCTTCAGTTGAATCCTGTGTCATAACATGACGTCTGAATGCAGATTCTATTGTGTGGAATATCAAAGTTTGTGGTCTATGTGACAGATATTAATCATTGAAAATCAGGTTTTCTAGCATCTGTTAACACTGAAAGGTACAGTTCTTGCCCAAGGCCCAATTCAAGAAAGTCACACTGCGTTCTCCCCGCCTTCTGAAATGGTTAAGAAGGGTTGGGCAAAATGCTTATATAGCTTTAGTGGGCGATAGTGGAGTCATCCAACGTTGCTGTGAGAAAGAGAGACTAAGAGATGGAAGGTGAGATTTCATCTTCAGAAATGCAAACTCTTTCACTCTTTTCTGTTCCTTACTATTCATTACTATTCATTTGTTATACAGAGCAAATTCACTCTTGATGAAGACTTTGATTATGATTTGATTATTACCATGATTACTGCTGTGCGTGATTGCCTTTTACTGTTACAGACAATGTATGATGTTGACAGTCTTTAATGTTTCTTTTTCTCAACTTGCAGACTTGAGGATAAAATATGTTGACCTGGAACAATCAGAAAACCTTGAGAGTCATAGGACGAATGGCTTCAGGAACACCAAATCTCTGGTGGTGCGGAGAGGAGCCCCATTTAAAGTCAGCGTTCAGCTGGAAGGGCGACCCTTCAACCCTAAGATCAATACTCTGAGGGTTAAAATCATGCTAGGTACTTTCCTGAGTATATTGCATGGATGCTTTTGTATACAAGTGGTCTAGCCCACAATTTAAGGCTTTTGCTTGTGTTTCTCACTTCATTCCTCAATTTTCCCATCAGGTAACCTGTACGCAGTAATGCCTGTAACCTTCTCCAAGAGCTCTTCCAAGTCCAGCTGGAATGCCTATATTGACCCTGAGGAGTTGAACCCTCTGAAACCTTCTGTCTACATCTGCTCTCCTGCCTCTGCCTCAGTCGGCTCCTACAGATTTCAGCTGTGTGTGCTTACTCAGGATGGCAAGAAAAGCTCTGCATATGGCAATTTCATCCTGCTCTGCAACCCCTGGTGTTCTGGTAAGTGAAGCAAAGTATCAGTGCTGGAGAATCAGATTTATTTTGGTAGCTTGTTGCAGCAACCATATATGTATCAGAATACATATATGGTTTGTGTGGCCTAACACACAAACCATATTGAAAATTACATTATTGTAGAATACATAATAAATTATTAATTACTTATTTTTAAGTATCTGCTACAGTACTATATAGGTCTGTGGACTGAATGATCTTTAAATCTCTTTGAAAATGTTGAATTGAGCATGACTTGAAAATGTTAGTACACTGTGTGGTTCTAAATGCAGGATGTATTTCTTGCAGAGGATACAGTATACATCCCATTTGAGGATCAGAGAGAAGAATATATCCAGAGTGACTTTGGGTTGCTGTTTATGGGATCAGGGACAAACATTGTTGAAAGACCGTGGTCTTTTGATCAGGTAAGAAAGTCGCAAACTGAACACTAAGCAACTCAAAAAAAAAGTATTACCAGAAGATGTGCCTTTTAAATGAGGTTTTTAAATGAGGTATTATGTATGAGTGTATTATGTTTTATCAAAGTGCATAAAGATCGTATTCTCTGTAACACTGTTTTGAAAGATTCCCAGTGTTCACTTTCAGTTCACTTTAATAATTCTTCAAAACAATAGTTGAAAATGAATAAATGTGCAACTTTTGGAGGATCAATGAGATAAAACATCTTAAAGTATGTGTGCACATAGTAAAATCTTGACCTTAAATCTGACTTCAAACCACCTGCTTAACAGGACTTACTCAAATTTTCTCTTTTCCTTTTTCTGCCTGTAAAGTATGAGTCTGGTGTTCTGGAGGCATGCTTGAATTTGCTCCAAGTCAGCCCTCAGCACAAAAAGAACAGAAAGATGGACTACCTGAACCGAAACAACCCCGTGTACCTCAGCCGGGTTGTGTCTGCCATGGTGAGTGTCAACAGATTCTGTCTAGCAACACAAATTCAACATTAACTAGCTTTACAAATTGTATGAATCACATTAGTTTTTGGATCTTGTTTACAATCTATTACATGAGCATCAT